ATAGTATAATTATATAATATATATATATATATTATATAGTATAGGCTACATGTAGCCATGGCTATATGTAAATTTTTCCTTTAAATTATTATAAAAATATATTAAAATATTTATCAAAAAACAATTTAATTATCAGATTCGAAGTCATGATCAGCATCATCACGATTATCTGGTAAAGCCCAGGCTGGCCAAATACCATCATTAACATCATCTGAATTAGGAGCAACAGATAAATGGGTCTTTAAATTATCAAATCGTTCATGATCTTAATTTACTTCAATACGTAATGTAGATAGACTACCTTTGTGTTTTTTCTGACGCTTTGAAGATCTTTCTTTTTTTTCATTTTCTTGATTGAGTTTTTGAATTAGTTCGCAAAGCTATATAAATATAAACTAAATAAGTTATATTATTAATTAAACAAAATTTACATTTAAACTATAAACTTACACTTTAATTTCGCCATGAAATTTGAACAATATAAAATACATCTTTTTCATTTTCTTTGCCACTAATTTCTGGACTTGTATATTCGGGTTTTATTACTTTTTTAATATTAGATAAAGATTGACCTAATTCATCAAGATTCATAAGTTTTACACATTCATATTGTTTTTGTGCTTTCTAAATATATATATAATTAATACAAATTATATTAATTATTATAAAATTATACAAAGATTAAAAATATTATATAAGCTGCATATATCTGAATTTTTCATACTCTTCTTCTATTAAACACTTTATTATTTTCAATTTTCTCTTTTGAAGACATATTTCATTTGTGAAGGTATCCAACATATCCAATAATTATATCTCTTATAGCATCTTCACTCCATAACTCTCTTTGTCCTATTATTTATAAAAAAAATATATATTATTCAAATATATATATATATATAATAATGCTTCTATATACTTACGTAAATCTTCACTTCTTTTATTATAATCTTTGAGGTAAAATCTTATATAATTATTTATCCTTTCCCGATTATAACAATTGTCTAGTGATTTTTCTAAGTTAAACTTGAAGGAGGTTTCATCTATATTTTCAGAATTTTGATGACTGTTTATCTTGTGACGAATCGAATTCCACAAAGTAGAATGTGATGTAGAATATCGAGTTAAATTCTTAATTGATTTATTTTTTGGATTAATTATTTCTGAAAGTGACTCGTGAGAGTGTTCAAATCTAATATCTTCAAGAATATTTAATATATTTTTTGATCGTTAGTATATTCAGTGACTTTATCATGTATTTCTAAGATATTCATGCTTAAAGTAGAAAACGTTTCTTGAAATGTTGTGTTTAAATTATTATATATGTCTTGAAGCTTTGTAGCTTGAATAGAAACAGTTTCTTGGTATTGCTCAAATACTTCATTAATATGGTTTAGTTTGGAATTAGTTTCATTTAAATTTTCGAATACAGTATCTAATGCTTTAGCAATTCCTTTTATAGTTGATAATGTTGAAGTTTTTGAACCAGAGGTAGCTTGGTTAATGTTATCCATCTGTAAAGTTATAAATGTATAAAAGAAATGTGTATGAGAAGAAATATAGCAAATATGTAAAAAAAGAAAGAGTAAGAACATAAAAAAAGAAGAGATAGCATTGTATTTATCTTCAAATAATTTAAATTATATACATAATCAAAACAAAGAGCAGGCTTTTAATTTTTACTTTTCAGTAACTTATCTATATTTTATGCAGTTGATACTATCTAATTGCATATACTTTTTAAATGCATAAAAAATTTTGACTTTTAAATATATATATTGTTTATGCAGTATATATAAAAAAGTCTGACAGATACTGTAGTATGCAATTAAATAGTATTAACTATACTGTACTATACAATATTTCATTTTAATCCATCACATTTAATATTATTTTGTGTCACTTAAAAGCAAAAATTATATAACAATTTATTAATTTTGTAAACTAATCTATTATGCAAATTTAAAACAAAATTTATCTATATATATTGAATTATACTAATACTAATAGTTTATAAATTGAATGCAAATATAACAACCAAATTTATGAATTTGATGTAATTTGATGAATAAGTTCTATCCATTCATCTTTTTTGATATTTGCAAGCCAAGTTATAGTTGTATAATCAACCAAGTCAAGTATTATCCAATTGTCATTTAAGGCTTTAAGAAGCTCTACTAGTCGTGGTCCAGCAGTAGTAAATGTTTTAAGTTTGTGTGCTGAAACCTTACCAACAAATCCTGGAATATTGATCGAAATTTCATCTAAAGTAACTAATTTTTTTTTCTTTTGCTTTATTGGTTGATAAACTAGAAAAGTTTCCGAAGTAGTATTTTCAATGTTTAACAATTATTGTAGTGTGATTCTTCCAGTAAGAAGAGCATTAATTTAAGTCGTAGACTTCATTCCTTTTGAGCGACTTGTGTATTTAATAACGAAATCTTTCATATAACAGTATACCAATTTGAATTCATACATAAATCTAAAGAACATTCTTCGATATAATTCTGAATTGTAAGAACTAATTTCAACTTTATGAAGTGATTTGTAGCACATACTCATAAGAGAAGAAAACATTAATATTTGTTGATTATTTGAGTTTGTTAATAAAGATGTATTTGTTAAAATATTAGATGGTAATTCCAGAACTTTTCACAGCAAATTAATTTGATCTTGTAAGTTACTATTATCAAATTCTGACAGAATTGATGCTGTAGGCTCCTGCTCTTCCTAATATAAATTTGTACCAAGTGCTCCACTAATTAATGAAAAATCAAATTGTAATATTTTTGAAGTTGAGCTTTGGTGTATTATATTTTTCAAATGTTTCTTTATATTATTATAAAAATCTGATTTACAAACTTGTGCATTGTTATCAAAAAATGGTGCAATAACTGGAAGCCCTTGTTCTAATAAGAGAAATTCTTTATACAGTTTTGCAGCCTTTAGCTTATTACCAGTTAAAGTAATATCAAATTTAAATCCTGCAAAATTAAAAACTATAATTAGTAAATATTCATTTTTATAAAAGAATTTATTTATTTATTTATACATACGTTTTTTACTGGTTTGTAATTCTTTAATCTTTCTTTTTTTATTTACTATTTCTTCTTTATCTTCATCGTCATTATCTTCAAATTCATCATCATTATCTTCAAATTCATCATCGTTATCTCCAATTTTGTCATTATCTCCAAATTCTTCTTTGTAGTCTTCTATTTCTTCTATCTCATTACTTCCTTCCACTTTGTTACTCTCTTCTTTTCCCTCTATTAATTTACCATTTTCAACGTATTATTCAGACTCATCTTCACTTTCCTCTGTCATACTTATTTTTTTTTTTTTTTGCTACACTCTTTTCTATATTATTGCTTTTCCTTTTGTCTTGGTTGCCTTTATTATATACTTTTTTTTCTTCTTTTAGATCAAAATTTGTGTAGTCATCTTTATTATTTTCTTCTTTCGGATCAATATTTTTCTTGATATCTTTAAATTTTAATCAAAAATATAAATTAAAATATATTAACAAAAGACAAGCTTATCTTTTGTTAAGTGCAATAAAGCTAAAATCATATATGCCTAATTCGAATAAACAATATTTTACAATTGCATCTTCATTACCCTCAACACTAGGGTCTTTGCTTACAATAAGCATTGTATTGCAATTATCGGCTATCTTATTCTCGAAGCCATCTTTATTATATGCCCTCACCGTTTCAAAATAAAATTGGATTTGCTTATTGTTTGTATAAGTAATTGTTATTCCTTCATCAAGAAATTGATTCGTTTGGATATGTCCTGAATTGTATAGAGATATTAAATATAATAATCTCAAAATTTCTTGTTCACGTGCATATTCTATAAAAAATTTAGATATTAACAAAAAGCAAATTTAGATTTTGCTCAATTTAATGCAGTGACTAAATGTACCCATTTTTAATAACATTTTACAAAGAAAAAATGTGAAATTAAAAAGAAAACAGTGCCATATTTATATTAAAAAAAAATACTAGTATATTATGAGAAAAAATGATATACGTAATATTGTTATTACATTAATTAAGCTCTTTCGATAGCTAATATAATGTTTAAGCTCAAAGCTTTTTTGATAGTTAAGATTTATGTTTAAGCTCAAAGCTTATTCGATAGCTAATATGTAATATTTAAGTGCTAATACATATAATGTCTAGTGATGATAAGTTAATTAGTTGTTATAACACTAAATATAATATATTTGTTAGTTAATATATATATAAATAAGGTAATTATATATATATATTTGCAAAAAATATACTAACCTTAAGTCATTATCGCTATTGACAAAATACATAGTTAATTCATATCTGTAGTATAGAGATAATGATCGAATATTTAATTTGTTTGATCATGACAACATAACTAGTTATAGCCAACCTATAATATATTCAACAAAACTTAACCCAGCTTTATAGTTTTGTGACTTAAACACTGCACCTTCAAGACTGGCCTATATATCAGTACTCGGTCTATGGACCAAGAAAAGAAGAACCCAATCTAGTAGATAGTATGGACTACTTATCAGAAGAATTGCGACTTCAATATTATATAATTATGAGAACTGTCAGAAATGATATACAATATGTATATATTTTATAGATATTTTTTATACCAATTATCTTTTATTATATTTACAAAACTGTGTCAATTAGTTCTTTGGAGACAAGTAATGAAGTCAAGAGGATCACAATACCGCAGTACATAGATAATCTCAAAATATATTTTTATATACCAAATAGCAAAATGGTGTTAAAGATATGGAAAATTGTACACAAACACAAATAGATTCTTGTCTTAAAGACTTGTATAATTCACTCAACAGATTCGAGTCACAAAAATAGCAAAAACAACAATCCTCATTTGAAATATTTGGTAGTGATGGTGGTGCATTTGGACAACCACAACTACAGAGATTCGGAACACCTCAAAACACATTTGAATCTTCTAATACCAATCAACCATCCACGTTTGGAACACCTACTTTTGGACAAAATACAATTAGATTTCCAGAAACTCAACAAGGGTTTGGGACATCTATAGGTGGGATCAGTTTTGATCAAAATATAGCTAGTTTTGGTGTATCAACACAACAAACAATTGAAGGATTCAGACAAACTGCATAGCCAGATCCATTTTTACAACAACAATTCAAGTTCTAAGGTAATTCTATCTGGTCTTAGTCAAGTAAAGTCAAAGGTCTTGTAACTTTATTGATGTCTTATATCTTTTTCTTTCCTTTTTAATTGAGGTCACTGGGTTTTTAATGAAGTATTGTTTTGATCTTTCTTTTCTTCTATTATGCACCCCTAACCCACACATAATCGTTGTAACCATTCAATAATCTGTTACGTCCGGTAATACAATTTTTATTTCAATTCCAAAAAAACTACTTCAAAGTCAAATTTTTATTTTGCTTAGAGCACATGTAGGACTTCTTTTATTCTACCTCTGTGCTTAGTTAATATGTCTATTATGAAACCTCAGGAGTTAACTTTTTTATCTTCATCATGCTTGCACATGACTTATATGAAGTGATTAAGAATCCCTTTCTTTGCATCTTCTTTTACTAAGAATAAACACTTATAGTTCAACTCTAATAGTTACTTTTTTATTTTTAAAAGAAGACAAGTTGATTAAAAAATTTTGTAATTCTATATGTCTATATAATTAAAATAAAAAAAAAATTTATCGATTTTAGGTAGGCAATTGTTGAGATATCTTCATTCAAGGTTTGCAAAAAACTTTGCTGCAGCTTTTTTTAATAGTTACTTAAGTTTTTTTAAAAACTTTAAATGAAAGATATCTTGACAACACCTATTTAAAATCAATAAATTTTTTTATTCTGATTTTACAATTAAAATAAAAATTTTTTATCAATTTTAGATAGTGGCTGCCAAAATAACTTCGCTTAAAAAACTTTGTTGCAGCTTTTGTTTTAGTTATCCAAATTTTTTTCTAAACTTTGAGCGAAGATATCTTAACAACCACTATCTAAAATTAATAATATATAGTTATTGGATGTGAAAGCAGCCAATAACAGAATTATTTGCAAAATGATTCATTTTATCTGGCTGCGTACATAGCATCCAATAATAGGTTTATCGGGTGGCTTATGATGACTGAATTAATAGAATAATTCAAGTTCTTTTGGTAATAATTGGATCAAGACATAAATGTTTAGAACCTGATTGTTATATTAAATTAGCTATGAGATATATGAATAAAAATCATGATAATGATCTACTGCAACTGAAATTATTGAAATAATTACTTATTGATTAAATAAAATAGGTCAAGAATATGATAATGAAGTCAAAAAACCAAATTTTAGAAGCTAATAAAATTAAACTAAAATTAATTGAACAAATACATTCTCAAGACATATATACTAGCAAGTTGTATGATACTAAAGTAATTTCAGATTATTTTAGTAAGATTGAATACTAAGCATATTTTTTGAATTAAATTATACATATAAAGTACTATTTTTCTGTTTTAATAACTTATTAAATATTCACATTGATATTTGAAATGCTAATTCGTACAAATATTTTTTTAAATAATCATACAGATTTGTGTGTATATAGAGATTATTTTATTTATTTGATCTTGCATATTAAATTAATTTTCGATATATATAGCTAGATAAAAAGATTATGCACAAGTAATAATAAACAGTGTATGCATAATAATAAAGGTTTCTGATCTAACTGATATATCATATTTGCAAATAGTTCTAACCAATTATATGAAGTTACCTAACAATATTCTATTGTTAAAATTTTTTACAAATTTATACAGGGTCAGAATACATCAGAACCCTGGTCAGATGGGCCAGAATTGATCGATTTTGTCAAAAATTACTAAGAATTTTATTAATAAAACAGTTATTCATCAAATAAAAAAAATTTAACAAATAATTTTACTATAGCTCTATTAATGAGAATAGCTAACCCCAATCCTAACTATGTTGCATTCTGGCTATTTTAGCTATTTTGATATAGAATTTTAGAGATTATTCTGTAAAAATTTTTATACAGAAGAGTCTAAATCAAAATGCATCAGTATTATTAGAGTTAGAGTTAGCTATACTGATTGGCAAAAGCTATAGTAAAATTATCAGTTAAGCACTTTTTACTTAATTAATAATCTTGGCAAATTGATCGATTCTGACCTATCTGACCAAAGTTCCAACCTGGAATTTTGGGATATGAGTTCATAGTTAAATATATAATAGATTAAGTTAATCTATCGATTTTGGCCCATCTGACCATAGTTCCAACCTGGAATTTTGGTGTATGAGTTCATAGCGATAGTTAAATATAGAATAGATTAAGTTAATCTATACTTGTTTCAACAAGTTTTGTATTTTATTGAAAAAAAAGCTTATTTATTTCATGTATAATGATAATAAAAATGACAAAATAACGAATTATTAATAATACATACTCTAATCTAGATTAGTCGACTTACTATAGCATACAAATATGCAAACTAATCAACAAATAAAAAACCAGATATCTATTAAAAAGATTGTGTTTGGAAAAATAGAATCTTACAATAATCTCAAACCTGTTATAACCTTTATTTAGTATGCTGATAGTCTGTAATGTTCTATTCGTATCTAGAAATTCAACCTTAATAATTTCAGATCTACTATATAGTCTAAGTCTTGGCTAGATTGACAATCATAAACATTTTGCATATATGTATGTATTTATTTACTTATAAATTATTATACGATCCATATAACAACAATCTATAGAATAATGCTATCCAACTAATCTACCTTCTTTTATGACTTGAACTCAAGCTTACATTCATAACTCTAAGCTAAACTAATATTATGAAATTGGAGACTTTTCCCAGTTGCAACAGTGTGTGAGTGGGAATACAATGATGCAATGATTGAACTGTTTATTACGTATGTTCATATATACAAATATTATATATACATATATACAAAGGTTATTATAGTTTAAATAAACTAACTACTATACGTAATATAGTAAACAGCTATATAAATAGAAGAGAAATAAATTAATACAGCTCTCTTTCTTAACATAAAAAAATGTACAAAAAAATAGTAATGAAGAATACAAATCTAAATATTGAATATATAATTGTATGTAATAATTAATTTTTTTTTAAATAGCAAAAGCCAAACTTAACATTTGCTAAAACTCTATAATATTAAAAATTTTCTATATATTTTTTCAATATAGTGAAAATATATATTTGATTGTGATTTAAATTTATCGTTAGGCAAAAAAAAAAATACATCTTGGATATTAAAATGTAAATATATATTGTAAAAAATTTATTAAATGACAAGAGCCAAGTTTGAAAAACAATATAATATTAAAAAAACATTTTCTACATTTTATATTTTTAGCAATAACATATAAAATTAGTTGTTATTAAATTAAAAGAAAAATATATTTTGATTTTTTTAATTACTATAAAGTTATAAACAAATATAGTTTGGTGTTATTGCTCTATTTGTAGTAAAAGTAGAAAAGTTGTGAGTACTCAAACAGAAAGATTACATAGACAAGAAGAATTTGGAAGAATAGATCATTCTATTGATAATAGTTAGGAAGAAACTAGAGAACCATTATTATCTACTAGTCAAAGCTTTAATTTATCAATATCATCTGCTGAAGATTTAACTACATCATTTTTAGCAAGTAATATTGAACAAAGAATTGAGCAAGAAGGAGAAAATGAAGAAGGAGAAAATGAAGAAGTAGAACATGAAGCAGAAGAAATAGATAATGAAAAGATAGAATGAATAAAAAAATTTAGAGTAGTATTAAATTATAGTTCTTCTGAAGAAGATAGTGAAACTGAAACTGAACAAGAAAATGATTTTGAAGATTCATCATCTATAAGAAATACTGGACTACTTGATGATATAGAATTAGAAGATAGTGATATTGAAGAAGAAACAATTTTAAGCTTTAAAAATACTAAAACATATACTCAACCTAATTCAAAATATATACCATCTCTATATTATCAAATACTTTTAAAGATTCTTTTAACTTAACAATTCAATAGGTTTTATTATGGATTTTTTCTTTTCAACAAGCTTTTATTTTACCATATACTGCAGTTACAGCTTTATTAATATTTATTAAAGCTTTAATATTTAATAATGATTCAAATTTTCCAGAAACATTATATAAAGCTAAAGATGCTATGTCATTTAAAAAAACAATTATACAATTTGTTGTATGTGAAAAATGCCATTTTTTAACTAATTTAGAAAGTATATCTAATAATTTACAAGCAAGTTGTAGTGAATGTAAAACACTATTAAAAAAACCAATTAGAACAAGTAAAGGAAAAATAATTTACAAACCAATTAAAGTATATCCATATCAATCAATTTTAAGTCAATTAGCTACTTTATTGCAATAACCTGGTTTTAAAGAATTGTTAGAATCTTGTTATGAAAGAGGAAATACTTCATCTGATATTTTTTCTGATCTTTATAATAGACAAGTGTGGAAAACTTTTGAAAATGATCAAAACGAACTTTTTTTCAAAAATTTTTGCACAAAACTAATATTGGCTTTGCAATTAATATTGATTGGTTTAAAGTTACTAAATATATAGTTTATTCAATTGCTGGAGTTTATTTAACTATTTTAAATTTGCCACGTCATCTAAGATATAAAAAAGAAACCACAATTTTTGTTAGTCTTATTCCTGGACCAAAAGAACCACCAATAGAAAAAATTAATTTATATTTAGATCCATTAGTTGATGAGCTTAAACAATTATGGGCTGGTCAATCATTTGCAACTATGAAATACCCAGTCAGAAGAATGTATTATGGAGCTTTAATTTTAGTTTCATGTGATACACCAGCAAGAAATAAAATTTGAAGATTTTCTAGTCATTCTTCTAAACATGCATGTTTTAAATGCAGAAAACTTTTTAAAACTAATGATACTTCAGATCAATCAAATATTGACAAATATACTTTACAAACTATTAAAGAACATAAAATAATAGCTGAGAAATGGAAATATTCTGTATCTAGTGAGCATAAACAGTTGTTTGATCAATATCGTATTCGATGGTCAAGTTTTCTTCAATTATCATATTTTGA